CGATGCAATAGCAGGTTCCAGATATCATATTTGATCGCGCATAACGCAACAACGGTTTGTACCCGATACTGTGTTTAGCGATCGCTCCGAGCGAGACCACTGGTTTCTTTAGAAACCCGGCATAGCGCATTCGTTAAAGGATTCGATTATTATGTAGGAGATGAGCGGCGAGTGCTGTATGTATGTTTATATTTGTACTTGAAACCTACAGTAAGCCGCAATGTCTGCCGTAGGAGTTAATTTGTGAAAGCATAGAAGAAGTGACTCGAAGAGTCTCGGTTTCAATTTGCGCACAGATGCGATGTAGGTCGTCGTAGTCAATTTTAAGGTGACGATCTCTCGAACTATAAAAGGGTATGAAGAAGCAAAACCAAGTTTGTGTTGGGCACAAATTTCACTGCAAATTGTTCTAGTGGAAACCAAATCAGCGTTTCTCCACAGCGCGCCAGTTGAGGCGTTAGACCTGACACTTTGCAGACTTTTTAAGGACGTTTATGAGATAATACAGCTCGAGGATGCAACCTTTTCAAAAGATTTGGCTAGTGACTAATCAACATTCGCAATCGCTCTTGATTGTTATCTTCATAGCCGTTTTGTGGAACGAAGCGCTAGCAAAGTCCTGTGCCAAATTCTCCGAAAAAGTCAGCGAAAAGTTGAATAAAACACCCATCGATTTGTAACAATAGAAACGAGGTGCAGAACGGAAATTGTGAAAAGCAGTACATAGTTAATATATATATATATATATATATATATAATATTGAATTTTGGAATGCACTCATTCTTACAGTCATTTAAAGGCAGGATAAAACTTAGAAGAGATTCAGGAGAACAATATAAATTACAGATAATATAATAAGCATTCCCTTCTACTCTCAGCACACAAGCACTGCCTCACTCTTATTTGTAAGGAAGCTAAATCAATGGCAGTTCACTATTCGTTTAATTAATCACTGAAATATTTCTGCTTATCGGTGCACTCACGCTTAATCTTAGAAATATTTTATATTCGATACTCAATGTGAGTTCTATTTGCTGATTTGCAAGAAATAGCTTCTAATGGACTCTCAGGAAAAGCAATGAAACAGCTTGATCAAAATTTTGTACAATCATGACGCATTAGCCAGAACATGATTCGAGGAAAATCAAATCTTTTAACAATGAGAAATCGAATATTGTCCCACAAGGTTGAATTGTAGATGGACTGAAAAGAGAAAAAATTAAGTGGAACGATCCGCTTTTGCGCAATGTATCTCGATTGCGAAGAGACGTGAGAACAATCTCTCAACCATTATCAATGTATCTTCTTTCATTCACTATCATTTGGATTTTAAATCAAATTCGCCTAATCAACAAAATCTGATGAATTCCGATGAAGAAAGAATGCAAAAAAGTTAGTGAGAGTGTTCGGAACTCCATTCTCCAACTTTTCAGCATATCAGCGGAAACAAGTTGAGGTTGTGGCTGCTAAGAACAAGTTGAATGAACTCACGTTCCTTTCGTGGCCTCGATTAAAACAAGTCGCTCAGATGAAGCGTGTAAAAGAAGTAAAACAAACAAAAGTGTGCACAACTTGCATTTTCAATGAACGCTAATAACAGAGAAGAAAGGAAATATATGGACACATACCAAAACAAAGCTAATTTACTCTGGAAAAAGGTTCAAGCAAATTTTGGAAACACACTAAAGTGCAAGAGGGGGGAAGTACAATTTCTGCACTTCAAAAGTGTACCAATTCCTCTAATCGGCCAACTGGCCCCATGAAAAGTGGAGTACCCTATACAGCTTAGCACAATAGTCGGGGAGATTAGAAATTTGAGCGGCCTGTGTGTGTTTGAATGTCAAAAGAGATGGATATAATAGGATGTGACGATATGTTCAATGCAAGAACCGCATCAAATGGAGATGAATAAGCGTTTAGATCAGCACTATAAACTTCTGCTCTGCAACTCTTGGACAAATGCCGAAAAGTTT